CAATTTTAGAAAGTATAAAAAGATAGATATTCCGAGGAATAGTAACTAATGCCATCTTGAAATTGAGATTTCGATTAAAACAAGACGAGATTTTGAAACTGTGTATTTTCGACTTCATTTCCAAGTCATCACCAGAGAGGATGGAATACAATACTTTGCATACAGCAAACATACAGAGCAAGAACGAGAGAACACCCGTCACAGGAAGGAAAGAATTGTCAAAGACCCAGCTATTTACAATTATAGATAAATAAGTTATTTGATTATTTTACGTGAATATATATATATTTACAAAATCATAGATTAGAACAAAGGTATCAATGAAATTAAACATTGGAGTTATCTATAAAATTATGAAAGTGAGTCACTCATACGTTTGATCCCAATACCTTTGTTCTATTCTATGCTTTCCCAAACTAGAACAATAGTATCTAGGCATGTGAGTAATCTAATATGTTATCTCACCTTTGTTTTATCCATGCTTTCATAATTTAGGCCTGTTTATACGTCGAATTTCGGTCGTGTCGAATGCAATTCAAACAATAGATAATGAAGCTTAATGAGGTTTATCATCTCATTATCTATTGTCTTAATCGCATTCGACACGGCCAAAATTCGACGTATAAAACAGGCCTTAGAACAATAGTATCTAGGCATGTGGGTTAAGATGAATTCCTTGGAGAGGCGAAGAGTAGAATACCGCACCTGGTTCCTGGGGCATGTTCTATTTGAAGTCGTTTTCTTTCCTGTTTTGGTAAAGATTTATCATCCGTCACTTCTTCAACTAACTTGACAACTTCACTTCCAAATATTCCTTCAATTTCCTCGAACGTTGTGTCCGTATCCTCCACAGTGTCGTGCAATATGGCTGCCTAGTAGAATAGTGTTAAAAGCTTTAGAAAATAATGAAATTTTCTAAACTTTATATCCACATTGGTATATGCGTGCGTGTCTGTCTATGTGTGTGTTCGTCTGTCAGAACTATAACTTAAAACAATATCAAACGCGAAATTCGTGGTACTAATGCACATTGCCTAAGGACAAATGCCAAATGGATTAAATTTTGGTTTCCAATTTGGATGAAAATTAGACGAAAAATTACCAAAAGTTCGCCGGGAGAGTAAACTGAACGCGTAATTGTATAATTTATGCAACATATACAGTCTATTTAT